TCGTCTGAGGAGTCCGTAACCTCCGTAGTGGGCGTTTTCGTCTTTTGCCTCGCAGCCTTAGCTACGCTTAGGTGTCGTTGATTGACGGTAATACCTATTTCAGGAGCGCTGATGGTGCTGTTATCGTTTGTAGACAGCTCGTCTGCTAGTGTGGCTGCTGAGATAGTGATAGTAGGAGTGTTGGGAGCTGGAGAAGGAATTACCTCTGTGTCGCCCGGGTCATGGGTGGTTCTGGAGTCGGTGTTGAAGTTGACCGCATGGTCGTCCTGGTGGTAGTCTCCAGAGTGGTAGAGGAGGCAGTGAGACTTACGCCAGTGGGTCCAGGCCATTGGCTTTGTATAATGCGTTTAGTTCACTGACAAAGCGCTGGTTGTCTGTGTTACGGACCCGAGTCCAGCGTCGGAGCATAGAGCAGTGACGACAGTGCCATCTGTGAGTCCGCTCCCGAAAACCCCCTCCAAATGGACGACGCCATCTAGTGATGACGAGAGACGCCGGCAATACGTGCTGGATTCCCATCTTAATTGGCTCGTGGAATAGCCGCTGCTGACCTCTGGTGAGGTGGCGCTTAGACAGCAACGCCATCTATGGAGTGAAGAGGTGGACGTTTTTGTCTAAGCTTGTAAGTGAGGTTCCCTAGAGCGTCCCAGTATTAATGACGTATCTGATTGCAGAGTCGACCTGGGACTGCTGTGTTGGACGATGGATCAGTCTACCCAAGGTCTCTTCACTAGTCTGCTGAAGAAGCTGTGATTCACCCCCGGACAAACTCTGTTGAGAGTGTAATAGCCTGCCTGAGGCGTGGCAGTGTCGGGAATCGCCTTATCCGGGGCTGGCTGGTGGAAAAGACTAGCCACTGTGGTGCTTAGTGAGGAGAGTGATCAGCGAGTCACACGAGGCTCCTGCCTAGGGCTCGCAACCCTAGTATCGGTCGTGGAGTGGCCTACACAGTGGAGCTGATCGGTACCTGCCAGCTACAGGCTGGATTATGGTTGAAAGCCTCCATGACGAAGCACCCAGTGGGACTGTGATTTGGCTGGCCTGTGGCCAAGGTAGATTCGTCATAGAGTCATAATGGATTCATCGTGGGCCACGGAAGAAGGAACCAGGGCTACCCAGAGTGAGCATCGTTGAGCATCCAGTGTCTTCGGAGGAAGACGCAACTGTACATAAGTGTAGTAATAATCCCCGCGTGCGACTGTTATTTATTTATATATGGTGGTAAATATATCAGAAAAACTGGAACATTTGTATCCCTCCCCCTTTAATTTAACTTGCGTTACGGAACACACCCCTTGAAAGCCTCTACTAACTTGGGGCCGGATTCCCAAACTCTACTACCATCAGAGAAGAACCCGGTTGCGTCCCAGTAGGGCCGTAACATAATTGGCATCCCCAGCGGGATCCGACCCCTTGTCAAGTATGTTTGACAGGGGTGGTGATGTAGCGCAATCCCCTGTAAATAATTCCCCCTGTTTATAATTATTTGGACGTTGTACTCCATAACCCCGGACAACATGGTTTCAGAACAGGGCGCTCTTGCCTGTCGCAGTTGCTGGACCACTATGATATGGCATTAGATGCTATGGAAGACAAACATAACGCGGATGTAATTTACACAGATTTCGCAAAAGCTTTTGATAAATGTGACCATGGTGTTATTGCACATAAAATGCGTTCAAAATGAATTACCGGAAAAATAGGCAGATGGATCTACAATTTCCTGACCAACAGAACCCAATGTGTAATAGTCAACAAAATAAAATCCAGCCCATCAACCGTGAAGAGCTCAGTCTCCCAGGGTACTGTGCTTGCTCCAGTACTTTTTCTCATCCTCATTTCGGACATAGACAAGAACAGAACCTATAGCACTGTATCAGCCTTTGCAGATGACACTAGGATCTTCATGAGAGTAGGCAACATAGAGGACACGGCGAACCTCCAGTCAGATGTAGATCAGGTCTTTCTATGGGCTACAGAAAATAATATGGTGTTTAACGAAGATAAGTTCCAGCTCATGCGCTATGGAAAAAATGAAAATATAAAAACGGAAACCACGTACAAAACTCAGGCAAATCATAACATAGAACGAAAAGGCAATGTAAAGGATCTGGGTGTACTCATGTCGGAAGACCTTACCTTTAAAGAACACAATAAAGTAGCCGTCACAACTGCAAGAAAAATGACAGGTTGGATAACAAGAACTTTTCACACTAGAGATGCTATACCGATGATGATACTTTTCAAAACGCTTATGCTCTCTAGAGTAGAGTACTGCTGCACAATGACAGCACCTTTTAAAGCTGGAGAAATTGCTGACCTGGAGAGCGTGCAGAGATCCTTTACTGCTAGAATCCACTCAGTAAAACATCTAAACTATTGGGACCGACTAAAGAGCCTAAAACTGTACTCCCTTGAGCGCAGGCGGGAGAGGTACATAATAATTTACACGTGGAAAATATTAGAGGGGCTGGTCCCAAACCTGCACACAGAAATAACATCACATGAGACCAGAAGACATGGCAGGATGTGCAGAATACCCCCGTTGAAAAACAGAGGTGCAACTGGTACTCTGAGAGAGAACTCTATCAACATCAGAGGTCCGAGACTGTTCAACACGCTTCCACTACACATAAGGGGTATAACTGGCCGACCCCTCACAGTGTTCAAGAGAGAACTGGATAAGCACCTCCAAAGGATACCTGATCAACCAGGCTGTGACTCATACGTCAGGCTGCGAGCAGCCGCGTCCAACAGCCTGGTTGATCAGTCCGGCAACCAGGAGGCCTGGTCGACGACCGGGCCGCGGGGACGCTAAGCCCCGGAAGCACCTCAAGGTAACCTGTGTGGTGCTCGGTGTGATTTAGTGCAATATTGGAGAGTGGGGTGCTCGGTGTGATTTAGTGCAATATTGTAGAGTGCGGTGCTCGGTGTGATTTAGTGCAATATTGTAGAGTGCGGTGCTCGGTGTGATTTAGTGCAATATTGTAGAGTGCGGTGCTCGGTGTGATTTAGTGCAATATTGTAGAGTGCGGTGCTCGGTGTGATTACGTGCAATATTGGCAAGTGAGGTGCTAAGTGCTCAAGTGAAGCGGTGTATTAAGTGCTCGTGCACCACTTAAGTGATAATGGCGGAAAAAGTGACCCTTGAAGATCTGGACGATGTTCAGGACTTTCTGAACAAGGAGGACTGTCTTGCCAGATTGAAATATCTGAGAAAGCCAGAACTTGTGCTAGTGAGCGCATATCTGGAGATAAAAATACGTGCAAGTGATTCCCGTGTTGAGATCTTGTCAAAGGTCCACAAACATTTGAAGGCCGGGGAGAAACAGGAAAGTGAGGCACAGCGTACAAAGGAAAGTGAGGTGGTAGCTTCCACTGAAAAGGAAGATAAAGGAAGTGACATTGAAAGTGATGCAGGTGAGCTGAATATAAACTTGCTGTCAAAATGCGTGCCTTAGATAAGAGATCGTGAGATAGAATGGAAGAAATTAGAAAATCGTGAGATAGAATGGAAGAAATTAGAAATAGAACGAGAATTGAAAGAAAAAGAAATGGAAATGAAACGGTTGGAATTAGAGCGAGAAAGAGAAAGAGAAGAGCGAGAAAGAGAAGAAAAAAGAGAAAGAGAAGAAAAGGAGAAAGAAAGAAGACACGAGTTAGAAGTATTGCGATTAGGTGGTCGGAGGAAAACAACGGAAACGAGTGGTTTCGATCCGGTAAGGAACATCAAAATGGTCCCGAAATTCAACGAAAGGGAAGTTTCGAAGTTCTTCGCTGCTTTCGAGAAGGTTGCAGCCTCTTTGGAATGGCCAAAGGAGAATTGGTCCATCATGATACAGTCCGTCTTGACTGGGAAGGCCCAAATCGCCTACTCCATGTTGTCCCTTGATGACTCCTGCGATTATGACAAGGTGAAGAAGGTAGTGCTCATGGCTTACCAGTTGGTGCCTGAGGCTTACAGGCAGAAGTTCATGAATCTGAAAAAGACCTCGGAGCACACGTTCACCGAGTTCGCGACCATCAAGGAACGGCTTTTCCAGGAGTGGTGTGCCTCTCTGAAGGTGAAGACAAAAGAAGAACTCGAACAACTCGTTTTGTTGGAGGATTTTAAGGAATGTCTGTCTGGAGATCTGAAGACATACCTAGAAGAGCAACAGGTAGAGACCTTAAGTGCAGCAGCCACTATGGCTGAAGAATACATCTTGACGCATAGGTCTTCCACTAGGTATGTCCCTAGGAGTTACCCACGTCTGTTTGGCAAACCTCGTCAAGAAGAGGAGAGACCCGTCTCACAAAGCGCTATGAAGACGCCCCCAAGTAGCCCCCGAAGGATTAGTCCTAGCAGTCCGAAACACCGTACTCCGAGGAGGAATGTAGTGTGTTGGACTTTGGGCAGTCCAACTGCCCAAACAAGTTGGTGGGCAGAAAGGGCACGTTGCTGCTATGTGCCGAGGCAGAAGAGGTAGCGGTCCACGTAGGGAGGTGATGCTGATAGGCTGTGTGACACCACCAGTAGGAACCCAGTCTCTGACTAGTCAGGAAGGACTAGGATTGTTTGTCCCTCACACTTCAGGCGGGTATGTAACGAGTGATCATACTGGTAGATCAGTAGTAGTGCTCAGAGATAGTGGAGCAGCCCAGTCCCTGATCGTGAGAAACTCATTACCCGAGGGGTGAGTGTAGACGGGAGACAAAAGGTTGTCCTAGTTGGGTTTCCTATGACGCGGTACGTTGCCCCCTTAGTGCCGGTACATCTAGACTCGCCTTACTTCAGCGGCACATGTGCGTTGGCAGTAGTTGATACCTTGCCTATAGCTGGGATTGACGTGATACTAGCCAACGACTTGGTGACAGGTTGGAACGACGATCATCTCAAGATTGCGGACGAGTCAGCCAGAACGGCGAAAAGGTCTGAGGTAACAACAAGAGACAATAATACCCAGGTACAGGCAGACGTGAGATTATATAACATGTTTAATTCTCCCTCTCACCAACAGATAGACAGCATTCCGACAGATTCACCTGATTCTTCTCCCGACAAGAAACATGGGGTCATGGTGACAAGAGCGACTGAGCAAGAGGAGAGGCCTCGTGTACAAGCACCCACGGATACCCAAGAGTCTGGCGTGAAGGCACATCAGTACTTGCAGTATGGCAAGGTACAACGTTCACTGAACTGGCCAGAGATTTCCCAGACGTCAGAGGTATGTGCGAAGGTTCTAGTGCCCTCTTCGGTCCAAACCAGGCTAATGGATATAGCCGGCTATGGACATTACAGGCTCATGAAACTTATCCCTAAGTTAGCCAAATGTTTCTTAGCGGTATTTTGTTTTGTTCTCGTGTGTGTTCTAAGTAAGGACCAGTGGACGACCCGACAGATGATGGCTCCCATGAACATCATGAAGAGACCCCAGGAATTGGAGACTTGCACTGTGAGTGTTGCAGTCGAAGAAGGGACCTGGAAGGTGATGGTGGATACAGGAGGTAAGGGAAATGATATTATGAGTAACTGTTTCCGACAGGTTGGCACTCCTCGCGTGATTGCCGAACCTGGATTCAGCATTATACGGAACGTTGGTCGACCTGACGGTGGCAGAGCGAACACCATCTTCAAGGTACAAGCAGCCCAGTTGGGACTAGGTGTGGGCCTAGTAGACAATTATGCTGTAAGTACCGACTTAACAACTATCGCTGTTACTCCAAATTATCAGACCCCTGTATTCCAGGTTCCCGTCTCCTTGAAGGACTACCTGACGGTGGCAGAGCGAACACCATCTTCAAGGTACAAGCAGCCCAGTTGGGACTAGGTGTGGGCCTAGTAGACAATTATGCTGTAAGTACCGACTTAACAACTATCGCTGTTACTCCAAATTATCAGACCCCTGTATTCCAGGTTCCCGTCTCCTTGAAGGACTACCGGACCGGTATAAGAAATGCCGTCTGTGACCAGCCACCAACGGTGCCACGACACAGGGAGGTGTCGATTCACCCCACATCGCGCCTGTGCCGAATCTTACTCGAGACGCGTAAGATGATTATGCCCCTGATTGCTATCTCAGTGAGGTTGTATGAAGTCACGTCAGGCAGGACATCACCTATGATCCTCAAGTTTTCCTTGTGCCAGAATCTCCCATTAGAACAGTTTTGCGGACAAGACATCCTCGCCACTCCAGTCCATTGTTTATGTGAGTCCGTTTGGAGTTGTACCCATGTACTAATTTGGTTTGTTTTCTCTTTTATAGAAACCCAAACCAAATTCTTTTTGGTGGGGAGGTGTTACGGACCCGAGTCCAGCGTCGGAGCATGGAGCAGTGACGACAGTGCCATCTGTGAGTCCGCTCCCGAAAACCCCCTCCAAATGGACGACGCCATCTAGTGATGACGAGAGACGCCGGCAATACGTGCTGGATTCCCATCTTAATTGGCTCGTGGAATAGCCGCTGCTGACCTCTGGTGAGGTGGCGCTTAGACAGCAACGCCATCTATGGAGTGAAGAGGTGGACGTTTGTGTCTAAGCTTGTAAGTGAGGTTCCCTAGAGCGTCCCAGTATTAATGACGTATCTGATTGCAGAGTCGACCTGGGACTGCTGTGTTGGACGATGGATCAGTCTACCCAAGGCAGCCAAGGTCTCTTCACTAGTCTGCTGAAGAAGCTGTGAGTCACCCCCGGACGAACTCTGTTGAGAGTGTAATAGCCTGCCTGAGGCGTGGCAGTGTCGGGAATCGCCTTATCCGGGGCTGGCTGGTGGAAGAGACTAGCCACTGTGGTGCTTAGTGAGGAGAGTGATCAGCGGGTCACACAAGGCTCCTGCCTAGGGCTCGCAACCCTAGTATCGGTCGTGGAGTGGCCTACACAGCGGAGCTGATCGGTACCTGCCAGCTACAGGCTGGATTGTGGTTGAAGGCCTCCACGACGAAGCACCCAGTGGGACTGTGATTTGGCTGGCCTGAGGCCAGGGTAGATTCGTCATAGTCATAGTGGATTATTCGTGGGCCACGGAAGAAGGAACCAGGGCTACCCAGAGAAAGCATCGTTGAGCATCCAGTGTCTTTGGAGGAAGACGCAACTGTACATAAGTGTAGTAATAATCCCCCGTGCGACTGTTATTTATTTATATATGGTGGTGGTAAATATATCAGAAAAACTGGAACATTTGTATCCCTCCGCCTTTAATTTAACTTGCGTTACGGAACACACCCCTTGAAAGCCTCTACTAACTTGAAGCCGGATTCCCAAACTCTACTACCATCAGAGAAGAACCCGGTTGTGTCCCAGTAGGGCCGTAACAGTCTGGTTCAGGAAGCCTTTCCGCTAGTCTAATAAGACCAGGGATAATGCCTGCACATGATGCACGGGGCTGTGAAGGAGCCTGAGGGACCTTGGATCCCCATTGAGAAGGCTGGGTCGTCTGCTGGGAGGAGCCACATGTTGGTAAAACCAGAAAGTCTTCGGATCGATTGGTAAGAGCAAAGGTGGTGGGTTAAACGCCTGGGGCTCTGGTCGCGGAAGTAGAAAGGTTTTGTTTCTCTTGGCTTCATCCTGAGCCTTGATGCTTTCCTGTCTGCGGGGACAGCGGTAGGATATTGCGGGGTGATTGCCATCACAGAGCAGGCAGCAAAGGGTTGTTGCCTTACATAAGAAGATAAAAACAAAGGTAACTGCAGAAGGCCTATTGGCCCATACGAGGCAGCTCCAATTTATAACCACCAAATCCCACTCATATACATGTCCAACCCACGCTTGAAACAATCGAGGGACCCCACCTCCACTACGTTTCGTGGTAATTAGTTCCACAATCAACACCTTGTTACCGAACCAGTATTTACCCAAGTCTTTCCTAAATATAAACTTATCAAATTTATACCCATTGTTTTGCGTTCTGTCTTATGTTGATACTTTTAATACTCCATTATTATGCCCTTTGTTATGTCCATTCACCCACTTGTAAACCTCTATCATGTCACTCCTAACTCTTCGCCTTTCCAGTGAATGCAATTTAAGCTTTGTTAATCTTTCTTCATATGAAAGATTTCTAATTTGGGGAATAAACTTTGTCATCCTACGCCTGACACGTTCAAGTGAATTTATATCCATTCTATAGTACTACGATCAAAACTTAATTGCATAATCTAAATGGGGCCTAACTAGAGCAACGCAAGGGGCCAGCCAACGTGGCCCACGCCGTACCCCAGGCACGGACACGAGGCCACGCCGTGCACACCTCCGGACCCCAGTGACGCCCCCTAGGGCAAGGAAACCATTAGGACTGTCCGCATGGGCCACGCCACCAGGCGTGGGCGACTCTGTCCCACGGGCGTAGAGGAGCCCGCACGAGCATGCCTCGTGGCCCAGGCGCCCGCAGGACGAGGGCGAAGCAGAGCCCCTAGGGACCCCGCCTAGGGCAAACAAACCCCTGGGAGCCAAGTTCAACTGGGCGACACCACCACAGTGGCGCCGCCCGCCCCCATGCGTAGAGGAGCCCGCACGCAAGGGGTGAAGGGGGTGGGGCCCAGGGACCACGCCTAGGGTAAGTACACCACTGAGCCAGGCCACATGAGCGACACCACCAGATGCGGCGCCGCCCGCCCTCGTACGGAAGGGGGAGCCACACATGCATGGCACGACACGCACGACCAGGCACGTGACTGAGGGCGGGGAGGGACCCCGCCGTGCAGCCCGCACGCCGGGGTCCTTAGAGAGGGCAAATAACCTGGGGCATCTAGCTACTGCGTCAGAACATGCACGACCGGGGACAGGCGCTGGCCACACGCCGGACACTGGGGACATTCCTAAATAAAACAGGGCGCCCCACATGCGGGCGTGTAGGGGGAACACGGGCACGGGCTCTGGAATGCCTATGGCTACCAAGGAAAACTTCACTCAATCAGGAGCCCCGTGTGTGCCGCCCTTGTAGGCAACAGGGGGTGGCGTGGAAGGCTATGTCAAAGGCGTGTAGTCGTCTGAGGTACCGGCGTCGTAGTCCACGTGTAACAGATGGCGGCGGAGCGTTTCGTTTTGTAGTGTAACAGGCGAGGCGGAGGCGAGCAAGAGGGCGCTGTGTCCGCGTCTCGCATTTAAGTACCCCGCTCGGTGTGCGCGCGCGCTACTTAGTCGGTTAGTCTCCAACTCATGGTAATACATTTTCTTCTTCGCAGAATTTCACCGCTTTTGCTGAGAAAATCAGTGATTATATAGTTTCGAGTGCTGCGACAGGTCGGGCGGAATGAGAGAGAGCCCCTCTCTGCCCATGAATTTATATTTATTTATTTATTTATTTATTTATATATATATATACAAGAAGGTACATTGGGTTTGTGAGAATACATTGAATAGTACAGTATTTACAGTCTTGTAAAGCCACTAGTACGCGCAGCGTTTCGGGCAGGTCCTTAATCTAACAGATAATTTTAAGTAGGTAATTTCTATCAGAATTGATAAATGATAACAAATACATTGCAAGAGAAAAATGAGATGAGAGAGCTTAGTAAGTATATTAAAGCTCTGATTGATTACATTGACAGCTTGATTGGTAATTTAAACAAGATTAATAGACACCATACAGCAGATTGACAGCACATATAAGACAGCAATGATCACAATGGTAAAGATGCTCAGATTGGATGTATAAAGATTGGGAGACTGGATAGCAATATATACAGATAAACAAGATTAATAAACACCATACAGCAGATTGGCAGCACATATGGCCCCAGACTTCCTGCGCATCCACGCGGGGCGTGCTGCGCAACTGTTTCTTTGTCCCCCTTCTTAGAAACATCTCCGCTTTGTATTTCAAATCAGAGGCCATTTCCTAGCCAAGCACTCGTTGATGAAAATCCCCTTTCATTGGGATACAGCTGTCCGGACAAGATTAGATTTTATGGTCTGAGTAGCTAACTTGAGACGTATTTTTCTCTGGTTTTGTCCTGATGGATTCTTTTTGCCTACTCTGTAGGCAGCAATAATATCCGATTTGTCGAGACTATAACGCAATTCGTCTTTTATGAGAGCATGTATATAGACATATAGGCAAGACAACAACATCTCTTTCCAGGCGATTAACAATGCATAAGCAACAGGGCTCCATTAAGGAACATATAATCTCTTCCCACAACCAGACCATCACCAGAGAAGTCTTAACAAACAACACATAAATCATCGATAGATACAGCGATAGCAGGCGGCTCAACATCTGTGAGGCACTACACATCAAAAAGTCAACACCAGCAATCAACAGCCAATTAATGCACAACTATATTCTACCCACTTCAAGACTCCATACCAATATACAAGCAACAAGAGGAAGTATGGGCCAATAGGCCCTTTGCAGTTACTTCCATTCTAATGCTCTCATATATCCAACTAATACCCATTGTTCCGTGTTCTGTCATGTGTTTATCACAAGTTTGTTCACCTCATCCAAAACTGTTGTACCATATCACCTCACCCAAATGCGAGTATAAATATGGAAGCAAATGGGGTGTTTACAGGTTACAGTTGTGTGTGTAAACTAAAGTCTTTGAAAATGTAATAGGTAATTACGAAATGCGTTCAGGTGTTGCGTCAGACTAGAAATAAAAAATGAATTTTGGAGAATTGATTTTTCAATTACCATAAGAAATATTGAGAAAATTTGTGTTAGAATTATTAATCTCACTTTTTCAGTCATATTTAACAACATATGTTTACAAGAAAGACTGCTACCTAAATATACTATATATATATATATATATATATATATATATATATATATATATATATATATATATATATATATATATATATATATATATATATGCGAACAAG